GCAGACATCTCAACCCAAGCCAGACATGCCACATACCAAAGCCTTTTGAAAACAAGGAACCAAAACTGCATTTATCTGTTAATAGTGCAGGGGTGACAGCCATGATTTTGTATCTGCAATATTTTGCAAATTCTAAAAGACTTAAATCTCGTAAGGTGATTATGCCATTCATTGGTGAAACGCTGTCACCCCTGGGGTGCAACACAGCAGCTGTTTCGGCCGAGCAGCAGAGAAAAAGCCAAGAGGGCAGGGTAGCATAGTGGTGGTGCGCCCAGGAGAAGCCCTCCTGCTCCACGCGTCCCAGCACTGCCAGCCCTCACTGGGGAACTGCTCTGGTTCCAGCAAGGGAGGACTGCAACCCTACCCACCCCCCAACCCCCCCCAGAGGGTAGAACCCCCTCTTTCACCTGGGTGCATGAATGTGGGCTCTAACGGAGGGGGCTTCTGTTGCAGCCCGAGCCCTGCATTTCACAGGATGCGGGTTTTCCCAGGAAGCTGTTCATACACGGGTTATCAACCCAGAAGGGATCTCTCTGGCCATTCATCCCCCTGACCTCCTGCAAAACGGAGATCACAGAGACTACCTCAGTGATCTCCCCTTCAAACTGCAGCATAGAAAAGAAAAGGAAAAAATAAAATCCCATGAAGATACCCCGTGACACAGCAGCTATAGCAGCTTTTTGATCGGTTGCTCCGTGAACAGGGTTTCATTTCTAGCCTAAGCGTGTCTGGCTAAAACTGCCGGCTGCAAAGCCCTGCTCCTGCACTGCGAGCTGGGCAGAGCTGCCTCCACCGCCAGCTCCGGTTCCTCCCCCAGGCACCTCCAGACCACCGCCACGTCACCGTGTACCTCCACGAAGTGCCACTGATCGGGCCCGGGCCGACTCAGCTAGTGATAAGGGACAAGGCGAAGGACTACAGTGACAGGGGGCAGGCTGAGGCGACGATCCCAAGCAAGGGGGGACGATTGGAGGGCCACCAGCCCGGTCCTACACGTTGCAGGCTAAGGATGCCACGTGAGAAACACTACCCCCCGCCCGGGCTCCCAGTCTGCTCCGGGGTCCTTCCCCGTTCGTAAAGGCCGCGGGAACCGGAGCTTTAGGCTCTCACGGCGGCTGTGATGTCCTTTGTCAGCCCGGCGCAGAGCCGGTGGCAGGGCCCTGGCCGCTCGCCCCCTTCGCCAGAGGCCCGGGGTGGGCACCTGTCTTAGTTTGGGCTGAAATAGAGTTAATATTCCTTTTCAGGGACCAGATGAGTGCCGTGTTTTGGATTTAGCTTTGGGTTTGGTATGGGAAGAATGCTGATAGCACACTGATGTTTTCAGCTGCTGCCGAGACTCCAAGGACTCTCCGACTCTCCATGTCCTGCCCGTGCGCAAGGGCACAGGGAGCAGGGAGGGAGCACGGCCACAGCACCTGACCCAAACTGGCCAGTGAAATATTCCATATCATGGCACGTCATGCTCACTATATAAAGGAGGGGTGGTTGGGAAGGAGCTCTCTCGCTCCCGGGATTGCGACTGTGGGATCTTGGTATCTCGGGGTCGCTGGCCGGGAACGGGCTGGATATTGGTTAGTGGGTGGTGAGCAATTACGCTGTACATCACCTGTTTATATATCTCTTTTTGTTTTGCCCATCATCGTTATTGTTCTTATTTTATTGCCATTATTAAACTGTTCTTATCTCAGCCTGCAAGTCTCCCTTCACCCCTCTAATCCCTCCCCCATTCCCAGGTGGGGAGGGGGAAGGGAGGGTGATGGGCTGCGGGGGTTGGCTGCCGATCAGGCCCAAACCACAACAGCGCCGGGGACCACGGTGCTGCCCTCCCAGAGGGGGACTCTGAGCAGCGAGGGGGGGGTCCCGCAAGGACCTGGCGTGTCCTGCCTCTCCCCGGGCCCCTCTACAGCCAGGAGCAAGGGAGGAAAATCTCCAGAGTATCAATTACGGCAGTAGATGTAGCCTGGAGGAGGCTCGTTTTGCTGGACTGAAGGCGTGTTGATGGCCATGCTTGATACCTTCCGTCCCACACCCTGCCACCTCAACACCCTCACGATCCTCCCGGAAAGCTCTGGCTTGGCCTGGCAGAAATATCCCCGGTGGGACGGAAACGTTGCTGATGCCGGGGCGCCCAGCAAGGGCCCCCGCGCTGCACCAGCAGCAAATGCCAAGTCTGCCCACCGCTCCTCTCACAAGGAACTGGGCTGAGGGACCCGGTTCGCCTGCAGAGCCTGTTACACAATGCATGCTTGCAAGGGCCAACCGCTCGCGTACAGTCTGCAAGCAGCCGTGGGGCTGTCTTAAATTACACTGGGCGGTGCGGATTCGGGTCAAGAGAGAGCATGGACTTCTGTCTTCCACCTCCAGGAGAAAAGAAAATGGGCCTATCGTTTATAGGAAGAGGAAAGGCCTTCTACTGCTCTGAGCACGAGCAGCATCCCACACAACTTTCCTCACTTGGATTTGGCCACCACATTCTTGAGATTAGTGTTAAACAGGAAAAAAAAAAAAAAAAAAAAAAAAAGGAGGAAAAGAAAAAGCAAGTTGTTAATAAAATATGGGGATGACCTGGAAATTTTCTTCCCAAAGCCCATGATAAAAAACCTCCAGCTGAGAGTCAACCTCTACATTATATTCCGCAGCACTCAGCCACGTCTTTCCTTAAACACATGGGGCACAGGGCTTCTGACAGTTCTTTGGCATGCCTGCTTAGAGTCTGAGAGGTTTTACTCCGAGGAAGCTTTTCCGTCACGTTCAGCTTAAATGTGCCATTTCTTGAAGTCATCCCCTTGTCTTTTATATGCTAGCAAGCAAAACAAGTGTAAATTAAATGGAAGACACATGAAATCTTTATAAAGCCCTGTGTTTTCCCTAGCATGAAAGTTCCTTCTCTGGAGTGGAATGGTTTTTTACTCTGTGCTGTATTTTCCCCATCAGAAAATGAAGAATAAAAATTTTCCTCACGACTTGAATTTAGCTTCATCAGCAGCCCCCTGCTGATGTAATTCAACCCAACAAGATTTTTCTTTTTCTTTTTTTTTTTTTTTTTTTTTTCCCGGTGAGCTGCTGCCCCTTTTCTTTTCCTCCCATCAATTCAGGCATAGAAAACAAGGGAGGAATTAGACAGAACTTATTATTTAACAAGCTGAAACTTCAGACCAGGCAGGAATAACATTTAAAATATAAAAAGCAAATTTTATCAAGCCTTTTCCTCCCCAGAGACTGCCACAAAAATATTCCTTGTTTGTCACTGAGAATGAACCATTTTTCTCTTTCATTTCTGCTTTCTGTCACATATTTCATTTTGGCTGCCCCTTCTGTCTTTCAGCTAGGGACCTAGGCTGCTAATGCAGAATCACAGATAACTCAACAACAAAATGCCTGCATTATCTTTTTTCTTTTTTCTTTTTTTTTTTTTTCTTCTAGTCTGCCAGGTAATTGCAACCCTAAAAGCTTTTGCATATTTACCACAGAAACATGTCTCTCCTGGAGGATGGGACTGTCATCAGGTAGAATATTTCATTTAATAAGCCTCTTCTGAGGTATAAACTAGGGTTGGGGATTTTTTTCTGGCCTCCTTCTGAGCAAAGGACAAGCAGATAAAAATCAGCTGCTGCAGTGCTACACTGTCAAAGTTCCTGTTCCTGTGAAAATTAACTCTTCACAAGCTCAGAGCTCAGGTGGGCTTTGCCACTGCGATGTTTATGAAGTAGGAAAAGGGTCTGTTATCAACTCATGTTGTTTTTTTTGTCCCCAGTCCTCCCCAAGTATAAGACAGATTTCTTTCCTATTTACAAACAGAGCAACTATCTTGCTTTTCTGTAACCCATCTGATGAGCTGTGGATGCTGCCAGGACTGATTTTCATTAAATCAGTCATCAGGAAGGATCACATTTTCCCTCTTCACCCCTGTTTCACAGAATTACAACAACAAAAACATGGCCTGAACATTTCAAAATTCAGCTGTCATCTAAAGACAAATTCTCTTTTTTTCCCCATTTTCCCCCACACCTGAGGTAGCAGTAGAATTGCTTTTCTCGGTCCTTGGGATGTTGAATCAAGCCAATTGGTACCAAAGAGAAGGTCTGAGGAGGACATCTACAGAGAGACTTGTGTATTGGAGTCAAGATAGATGACCTTCCAGGGGTTATGAAAAGAGGCTGCTTTGCTGAAACTGTTCAACAGACTGAAGAAAGATATAACCGGTTGACACCTTGAGCTTCAGGTGAACCTACACAGAGGTCAGAACTCCAACCTAGTACATAACATACCTGAAGTTAAAAGCACTGTGAGTGGGCATTGACTGTGTACAACAGGTCCTCAGTCCAACACCAAATTACTGACAATACTCACTCAATCCTACCAACAGCTTCCCACATGGAGAAGGGTGTTTCCAGCCTGGCCAGGCTGCCGGCCCTCCTGGAGCAGAGCCGACAGGAGCCAGCCAGAATCCTCCCGTTGACTCTAGCAAGCTCCACAGCCTGTGTGAAAACTACTCCCTGACAAAGCACCTTCTGCATTCATAGAGTTTTCCTGTGGGCCACCCTTATCCTTGTAAAGTCCCTCATTTCACATATGAGTAAGGACTGGAAAACATATTTGAAATATAATTTGATTGTTTAGATTAAGGTCTTTCTGAAACCAAAAACCTACTTGCATTGACTTGGGAAGGAAATACAGACTCTCCAGATACATCCCCTCTTCTGGATACAGTCCCAGAGAGAACAAAGTACTGACAGAGGTGGAAGACTTTCTAAACTGTAACTGGCAAACTCTGGTTTTACATTTTATGGTTATTTACAAACTTACAATGGTTTTCAGTGCAAGTAAACTCCAAGACGTTAGGATACCATTTTTCCCTATCACCAACAAGCCATTCTAAGAGCCATCCCAGTTTAGGATTAAGAGATGACTCTCATTCCCTCATTCCTTCCGGGAATGTAGGAAAATTCCCATAGGTAAAATACTTTTCCTAGTTGCGTTACATGAGCCCAGTCTCTTACCTGTAATATCTGGATTGAAGGTAGGTAGAACACACAGCTTTAGACACATGGCTAGCTGAACCAAAGTCTATGACCTTGACCCTATATGGCTGTCGGGATGGGTCTACCAACATGATGTTCTCTGGTTTGAGATCAGCATGAATCAGTCCCAGGCTCTTCAGCTTCATTAGGGCAGTCGCTACCTGCTGGAGAATTGGTCGAATGTACTTAAGGGGCAAGGGACTGAATTTGTTTTGTTTTAGGAAATCATAGAGATTCTGCTCCAACATTTCAAAGACCAAGCATGTGTGATTCTTGTGCTGGAAGCACTCGTATGCACGGACAAAGTTGTAGTCATCTGCACTTTCTGTGCTCAGACGAGCCAGGATGCTCACTTCAATCTGGCCTTGCCGAGCATAGGAAGGGTGGTTCTTTAGGATCTTGATGGCCACAATCTCATTAGTGCCACGTTTCCAGCATTTAACTACTTGTCCGAAGGTCCCACGGCCAAGAAACTCTAACACTTCATACGTGTTGGTCATGGAACAGAGCACCTCATGTTGCACCAGCTGGTAATCCCCTTCGCTGTTGGAGCCGCTGTTTTTGGAGGTGGCCGTGGAGGTGGTGGCAGTGGCTACAGTGGCCCCACTGGCATTGTTCTGAATCATTGGCGGATGCTCTTCGATGATCTGCACGCTGCTTGTGTTCTCGATCTCCTCACTCTTGCGCTTAAGTCCACATTTTTGGTAGGTGTCCAGAAGGCTCACAGTGCTGCGACGCATCAGGTTGTGTGGCCCGCCCAGTGTTTGCCCAGACACTGCGACCACACCAGAAGTGCTGTTGGCGGATGTCACCACGATGTGCCCCGTGCTGGCTGGGAAGATGATGGTCTGTTCGTAAGGGATGCTTGGGTTGGGGATCTGGAGGGAGGCGTTGACGGCTGCTGCGGCGGCTGCTTGGGAGGACTGCACGTTCTTGCTCTGGCTGTAGACTTTGCTGTGTGTGCCGTACCCAGTCATATCCCAGTTTGAACTCGGCTCCACTTTCAGTTTCTTCACGCTACAGAAGGCACTTGACTGAAGGGTGTGAGGAGAGAAAACTTGCACATGCGAGGCCATACCTGCAATACAACACCAGAATGAAACCACAGCGTCAAGATGACTTCTCCAGCTTTTTTCATTTGTTCAGTATCAGGAAGGGAAAATGGGATACAGACTTCAGATACGGCACACACACACACACACACAAGTTCTTCCAGAAATATGTATTCAACACAAATAAGATGATATGCTCTATAATAAATCATTATCCCTGATTGAACTATACTAACAACCACCAAGATTACTGCTTTCTTGCTCTCCTCCTTCTCATTTTTAAAAACAGGAATGTAAATGTTATTTTTACCTCCTCTGTCTAAACAGACTCCTATTCCCATTGTCTCCAGGAATATATCTAGCTCTCAGGAAGAACTCACGTCAAATATTGCAAAGTATTCTGAGTGTGGAAGTCAAATCTCAAATCCTCAGGCTCATCCTGTATTAAACAGTTTGGTGGCTCTGACTTAAGCCCTCTGTTTTATTCCCATAGAACCACTGTGTAGCTTCTGGCCTGCAGAGAACCAGGATGGGACCAGGAGATGATGCACCGTGGCAAAACGGGAGGTGCGCAGGCAAAGTTGAGGAGCCAGGACAGAAGCAGCAGATGATGTTTCAGGTTGCTTGCCAAGTCTGCGTGTGGGAATCGTGCACAATGCTGGTCTGTGCTCAGGGACACTGGAGATGGGAGTTACACAACATGAGCTTCACTGTGTGCTCTCAGTTCTCTCAGATTTATAAAATTGTGTCCACCTATTCTTATTCACAGTGACAATACCATCACTGGAAAGCAGATCCCCTGGAAATGAACGGTACTGTTAATAAGGCAACATACTCATTAGCATGTGGCAGAACTAGGTCCCGATACAACTTTATAAGAGAAGACAAAAACCTATTTTACTGCCAGTTTATTTGGTTCTAGAAGAGTTAATGATCTTCTACATCTTAATTAAAAAAAAAAACAACCCCCAAACAAACAAACAAAGAAACCCGCAACCTCATAACCAAAGTGAAAATAAAGTATCACTGAGGCAGACTTACTGAAGGAGTCTGAGTAACATTGCACCGAAACAGAAAATGCTCCTATTCCACAAAAAAGACGTGGTCCACAGAGAAGAGGATATCTAAGTCCTGACAGTACTGCTAGTTTTCCCTGCCCAGGGTAGGGGTGGTACTGCTGGGGCAAAGGTATTGTGGACGGCACAAATCTGTGGGGATTCCTGGGGAAGAAGCCAGCACACAGCGGGAGTTAGAGCAGAAAGGCACAGCCTCCTTCACCCTTCTATCTGTTGTCAGTGCTTCTTTTTAATAAACCAGAATGACTAGGGAAGAAAAAGACAATATGCTGAGCTGGCACCGTCGCTGAATTATTAAGCACAAACATAACCTTGACTTGTTTTCAACTTTTAAAAGTTAAAAGCTGAATGAATGCTTCAGTGACAAAACCACAACAAACTCTGCAGTGCACATGGATGACTTCCTTCATGTGTAGACCTGAGAGTATCTAACACTCGGCTCCCTTTCCTAAAGGAAACCCATATTCTACCAGTCTGCGTTGTTCTTCGGAAGATTTTCTGGAGCTCATATGTACTCACACACGCTCACACACGTGCATGCGTAAACACCTGCACCCATTTAGAAAAACATGAACGTTATTCCACACTTCCAAAGCTCAGTAGCATGGTCAAGCAAACAGGCCTAAACACACCCAACACCCATTTTCCAGTTATTTCCCAGCAGCCCAAAGCCCAGGAACTGCTCAGGAGAGGGCTGCTGTGCCGAGCCCAAAACCACCGTACGCAGCCATCCAGAAGTAACCAGCAAAGCAACCACTCCGGTTTACTTCAACTCCCCCACCTCCACCCCTGCCACAGTGACGAATTTATGAAGACGGGACAGATGCAGAAGAAAACCCCTATCAGGACTCGTGGGGAAACCCTCACCCACTGCTGGAACATACAACACGAAACCCCACTAACCCCGCTCTAACAGCAAAGCCCTGCAGACCGCGGCATGCCCTCCTTTGCAGACATGACCCCTGGGTTTAACGTGATTTCTGACGCCATTCGTGTTAACTCCCGCCGCCTTCCCCCCCTCGATCTCCTCGGCAGCAATTTCCAAAGTCTCTGCAACTGGGTCCTCGGACCCCCTCCCTCCCCAGCTCCCCGCTCCTCCAAGTACTTTCTCTCCTCTCTCCTTTCCACGGGGTGACGATACGGCCACGAATGCCGTAGCATGTGGCACGCAGCGAGCTCAGAGAACCGCAGCAGTATTACTCAACTTGTCATCCCAGACACGAGTATCGTATGGGAGCAAGCCGAAACTGTGTTTGTTTTTCCACTGATTAAGAAGAGTCACGGTGTTCCTTCTAGTACAGTACCGACCTGCCTGGAGAGTGGGGTTGGTTTGATGTATGTTTTCCCCCTGGACACGAATAATAAAACAGATGTAATTGGTAACATATTGTGGACCTAGCAGAGGTGTAATTTATAGCTTTATGGCTTTCATTCCACGGTGTGCTTGAGCAATATCTCTTCATACAAAATAAAAAGGGGAAAAAGCGATTGACGCAGAACAAGGAGAGAGGTTCTTCTCATACGTTCCTCTAAAGATAACACCAGAAGACCCAGGCACCCCAAACTGAAGTCTGGGATGTGAAGGGCAGCAGCTGCAACTTCCTCAGCGCTGCTGTACAAATCAGGATAATCGCCACCATTAAGAGACAGACTTTCAACTGGTGCAAACTGGCAGGGCTCCAGTTGGTATCAGCTGACACTAAAAACAAGGTCAGCACTCACTCAACGTCGTCAGCGTCAGATGGCTGCCTGTGCCTGTTTCCACATCAACAACCAGCCCCTTGCTGTCCCTGCAACACTGCTGGCAGCCTCAGCTGGGGGACAGGAACCGGGGACAAGCACTGAGCCACTCTGGTACCCCCAAAAATGGAGGGGGTGGAGGAAGCAGGGCTCTCTTGTGGCTAAATGGAGGACTTTGGATTCCTCTGCAACCACTTCCTCAGAAGTTATAGCTCGTCGCAGGAGAAGTATTTTCCCTAAAAAAAAAAGAAGTATGAAATCTTCTTCCTTCCATCCAAAATTATTTTCTCACATTTGAGGTTTTAGGGGCACACGCTGTAAGGAGAATAACTCGGCCAGCTCTTCAGCACAGTCCGATACCAAGAAATTACAGGCTGATTGACAGCTTGGTGATGGGAAAAGAAGGCTTCTGCAGCAAAGTCATTTTTATTGTAAATTTGCCCGTGCAGTTAATGTGAGAATAACACAACCCTAGATTTCCTGAGGACGCTATCAAATCGTGCTGGTGGCAAGTTCTTTTTTTCAGAAAGGATCTTTGTTCCATGGCAATAGCAGAAATAGTAATAATGTGAATAAAAGTTGGATGGTTTGTTACAGGGATCAAATTCCTCATCACAGCCTGTAATACAATTTACAACTTCAGTCTTTTGATTACATAGGCCAACAATAGCCTTCTATGACATCCATGAGGAAACAAGCCTGCAGTAACGGGGTGATCCATGCCACCCAACCCCTGTGACAGCAGTGCCCCCTGAGCATCCCCGAGACACAGTGGGGATGCTCCCGGGGAGCGTCCTCACTCCTGGCGTCTTGGAAAGACGGAGGGGCCCTAAGCCACGGAGGGCTGGAAACCAGTCTGCTTCACTCGGGAAAAGTCCTCCGAAACCCCCACTCACAGCTCTGCCAAGAAACCCCCCGGGCGAGGCCGGGCCTCTCTTGCCACCTCCCTTCGCTGCGGGACGATCCCGGCAGACACCCTGCCCCGTTTCACACGGGATGGCCCGAGGCTGGCACCCCGCTCACGGCCATCTGGCCCTCCCCGGGGAGCGGAGGGGGAGAGGGTGCTCAGGAGGAGCAGCTGTGCCCACCGGGCGTTCTAGCCTACTCGAAGCCCAGCCCAGCAGCCCCACCTGTGCTAGCAAAAGTTCTGTCCAGACAAAGGCGAGCGGCAACAGGGGCTGAGCTCGGGCTTGGTCCCTGCCTTGGCAGGGGTGCAGGGCAGCCTCCCACAGCCCCAGTTAGCCGGCCAGGCTACGGCCAGCACGCTGCAACTGCTAAACAGAAGCCCTGAAGAGTGCAGGTCTAATTTTTTATCTCACCCCCCTGCACGGCAAGTTTCTGGGCTGGGAGCAGAATCGAGGTTGGGCACCATGCATGAAATAAAACTGATAGTTCCTTTCTTTAATAATGAGTTTTAGTGTAGCCATTTAAAGCTCTCACACAACCGACAGTAACTGGATTTAATGGGGCCTCCCCTGTCCTTGATACGACTCACGTAACTCCCTGTAGTATCCACATGAGCTGAAGTATGTAGTGTGCAGCCAAGGGACAACGTTAAAACAGCCCGAATGACTTTTATTAAAAGACTTGACTTCTTTTTTTTTCCTGAGAACTCCTCCCACGTCAGCTTTCACTTAATAATAATTTAGCAGGTGCTATTTACAATTCAGATGGCCCTCTTCTGCGTGCATACACAAATCGCACAGCTGCCTCACTCGCACTTCCAACAGGTTTCAGGAAAGCAAATGAGGTAGAGTTCCCTATCCACCCACCTTACCCTAAAGGGCAAAAAATACACTTTGGGGACTAAAGAGGGAACAGTTTGAAAGTCACTGATGTTTTCTTCTGCTTTACTCTTAGCAGTTACTGCTGATTTATAAATGTGGCCTTTGTGGTGGCAAGAGACCAAGCCCCTACCCTGTATTAAGTAGGCAGTAAGACCTTTTGCCGTACCTGCAGAGCTGCCAGTGCTCTGTAACCAGAGGCTGCTCGCTGACTGCCGCCAGAACGACGGTGCCGGCTTGAAAAATACTGTAGAAAGCACATGGCATGTGTTCGGCATATAAATGATGCACACAAGACACTCCTGAAATAAATATCTTCCGCTTCTCCCCAGAGAGGCACAAGCCTGCAAACTCATCTACACGCCCGGGTTACGGCGGCAGGGAAGAGGGGATCTGCCAGGTATGGCTAACGTCTTCCAGCTTCGA